TATTTTGTGATCTAATTGTTCGTAACCATGGCTTTCCTAGATCAATTTTATCTGACCGTGATACTATATTTTTGAGTCATTTCTGGAAGCATCTTTTCTCCCTTAGTGGCACTACACTTCGCACTACTTCATCTTATCATCCTCAGTCCGATGGACAAACTGAGGTAACAAATAGATATTTGGAACAGTATCTGCGTTCCTTCTGCCATGATAGGCCCCATTCATGGGCTTTTTTTCTTTGTTGGGCTCAATTTCATTACAACTCTGCCACACATTCAGCAATTGGTATGACTCCTTACCAGGCTGTGTTCGGAAAGCCTCCTTTGATGATTCCTTTTTACCCTCGTGGGTTGGTTAAAATTGAGGCTATTGACTCCTTGCTGCAACAACGCAATGAGGTGTTGGCTGCATTAAAGTTGCAGCTGGAACGTGCTCGCAACAGGATGAAGGTTCAGTATGACAAGCATCATAAGGAGCGGTCCTTTGCAGTGGGTGATCAAGTTTGGGTTAAACTACAACCTTACTGTCAGGTTTCAGTGGCTAGGAGATCGAATCACAAGCTGGCAAACCGGTTTTTTGGGCCATTTCCAGTTTCAAGGGTGCTAGGACCTGTAGCTTATCAACTACAACTTCCTTCAGGGTGCAAAATTCACCCTGTATTCCATATTTCCTTACTCAAACCTTATGTGGGTTCTAGTTCATGGGTGAGAGCCTCTCTTCCAGCAGCTGCCATTGATAATCAACCCGTGCAGGAGCCTTTGACAGTACTTGGATCACGTGTGGTCACTGATGGCACTTCTCAGCATCGTGAAGCCTTGGTGCAATGGTCCGAAGCTGTGCCAGAGGATGCATCTTGGGAGCCTATTGATGAGCTCAGTCGTTGCTATCCACACCTGAACCTTGAGGACAAGGTTCTTTGTCAAGGAGAGGGGAATGTTACGGTAAGAAGGTCAGTGAGAGAAAAGAAGATGTCCACTCGTTTAAGTGACTATGTAGCTTAAAACTTGTGATGAATGACACGTGTGGGATGCAGCTTATGATGTAGGATACGTGTGTTTTACTGAGTTAGTTGTTTCTGTATTGTTCAGTAATTAGTATTTTGTTAATAGCCTTACGGGTAAGGGCCCATAGATACAAAGCAATACGTGTCATGCCAAAGTGAATGGCAAGGTATAAGATACATGTAAACAGACGTTTCAGGTATTATATAAAAATTCTGGAATTCTCTTTTCAATTTCCTCTGTTCTTCTTCTGCCATTAGGGTTCATTCCCTATTAACTTGTCGCCTTATTTGTGTGAGCATGGGGTTTGTCCATGCCACTTGATGTTAGTACTTTGGGTTGGGTTGTATGAACTGTTAGCTTGTCCGGTCTACGTGTTGTAGTTCCGTGACTAGAGACATATTTATGCTGCTTAATTAATGAGGTATTTCAGTTAGCTGTCTTTTGCATTTTACATACAGGAAATGTTTTATTAATTGATTAAGTAAGCAAGTTGGTAATGATTAATGACGTCATAATTGAAAAGAAAAAGGTATTCCGCATTTTTAATTAAGCGCAGCTTAATACGATGATATGATAACATTACCGGATATATACGAGGTGTTACAGTAGAGCAGGGGCAACACGATGGCTGGGTTGTTCAATTTCTAGGTTAGCGCGGAGGCTGGTTTCTGGAGAATGGAAAACCCTAGGCTGAGGAGAGAAATATAGAAAATTTAAATATAAAAAGAAAAGAAAAAGTGTAGGGATAATGTGGTCAACCCCAAACAATAAGACAAAGGAGCACAAAAAGTTACAAATTGATGATTTTTTATCCACTTCTAGATACCATATTATAAAACAAGGTAAAAAATGACAAAAAATAATATAGAGTAAGTATAACGTTTCAGCCATAGTAGCCTACATCCATTGTAATGAGTTTTGTTTCCCTCTCAGTTGTGATCAAGGAGGGAAGATTTCCTTCAGTATAAATAATAGGTGATACAATAATTAAATTAAATTATTTTGGCAACAATATAAGAAATCAAATAATTTATTACCTTTTTAATGGACTATATTTGATACATGACTATAATTAATCGAATCTCTAATTTATCTCCACTAATATCTCCAACAAATATAGACGTGGAACCTACTTTACTCCACCATGGATCGAGCATTTTATGATGTTGATTTTCCGTGTTCCTTTTGCGTTCTCTGATATCTAAATCATCTTATATGTAAAGGTAATGAAGTGTCATGCAAATCAAAGCTCAAAATGTGTAAATATTGTATTTACAAATTGGCTCAATTCGCATGCTTTATTTTCCATCATCCTACTGTCTTTTCATTTTTCTTAAGGTCCAAATTCTGTCATTTTTCTCGAGGTTCGAATTAAATTAGAATGAAGATAAGAATTTTTTAGTTGATCAAGATATCCTATGTGTTGCATACCACTTGATTTTGGATTAATATGGTTCTTTACATAGTATTAGAGTTTTAGTGAACACAAGGTCACGAGTTCGATTATTACCATCCCACTTTGTAGTGGAATTAAATAATCACAAAGTAAACCAAAAATTCGGTCTATGTAATATCTTCGTTTCAAACTCAAAAGACTCTCGTGCGAGAGGAGTACTAGAGAATAATATAAACCATTAAAAAGATTCCCACCTATCATCTTAAGATTTTGATTTAAAATAATAGTTTACAAACTTGAAACAAAAGAAGAGAGACGACGAAGACATGCATATATTGACGTGGGTTTAACTTATATGTTGTATAACCGTCATCCTGGACACACTACTCATTGTTTCTAACTTCAAACTATATTGTCTTCATAAATTATTATTATCATGTACTACCTTATAGTAACGCATGCTAGTGTAGTTTGTCATGCCAACGTCATATTATCGTATTCCTTGTATACAGAATTACGGAACCCAGTCTTAATAAACCAGTAGAAACTTAAAGAGTAAGAAGCTAAAGGAATCACGGTATCGACATGTGTAATACATTAATATATGGCTATACAATTAGGTTTTACAAGCACCCTAATTTGCGTTGACACATTTATTTTATTACTCAGTGGGGCCAAAACATTTCTCATTTAGATGGATGCATAATTGACCTATAAATATTTATTGATAACTTCAATTTAAATTACAGTTGTAATAATGATTTTAAATTACAGGTGATGTAATCATAATTGCTGTTACAAGAATCATCAATATTTTAAATTTCAGTCAAAAAAGACTGCAACAGTCGAAATAGACTGCAATTTAATGTCAAGATTCGTAGATATCAAGTAGTTATTAATATTAATACACATATATAATTTATTGAATGAGAATTTCATGTTGTTCTTAAGAATGCGATGTGCGATTTGACTAGTCTTATGGAAATGTATACGTGGTTAAAATATTGTCATTTGTTTTCGAAAACTAAGGTTTTCATATCAATCCTAATTAATTAGAGGTGTGGATCAGATAGATCTAAGAATCCGTTCGGGTGAAAAGTAGATAAATCAACCTAGGTCGGGTTGAGTTTTGTGTTAGAAAATTTGGAACCTGAAAAATCAACCTGATGTATAATTTTTTCTGATTTCTCTCGATATTTTTTTTTATTTTCTTTCTACTTTTTTATTTGTAAATGAATTTTGTTTAAAAATATAACTATATGCTGATTTGATGGCTTAGTTCGAATTAATTTGAATTTGATAGGTAAAAAATCTTAATCGAAAGTATTTTGATCATACACTAAACTGATAACTATAAGCGTACAATATAATATGAAGTTCTGGTAAAAGATTGCGTAACTCCAAGGGTACTGACCCGACAGTATCCCGAAAACACTGAACACAAATTCAGAAACACGATTAATTTCTCCTTTCTCTCCAGCTTTTGGGAAAGGAATTATTCTTTAATTAACCCCAATACATTCTTGTTTCTATTTTTGGAATACAAAAAATTTTCTTTTAAAAAGTTAGTTCATAATGTAAATCTTCTTGACTCGAATATGATTGCTTCCAGTAAAAAATACTCATGGTTTATCCAAAGAAAGCATTTTGATCAGTAACATGGATTTAAATGATAAAATACTACATCGTTTCATATCGAATATGGAATTCCGGTTCTTTTCAAAATTTGTGATATTTTATAAAGCATATATGAGTAATATGTGAATCATACCGGTTAAAATTCCTTTTCTTTTCTTCATTTTAATGTATCAAAATATTAGGAAAAAATAAAAACATTACAGCTGGAAAGAAAAATAATAATAGATACTAAGTTGGTCCATCTAGAGTTATTATTATTTTATTTTATTTTTTTAAAAAAACCCAACCTATTCAAAGCGAAAATTTTAAATTAATTTAGATTTAGATCCATTGTATCAGAACATAAACAGGTCTTCCTTTATCACCGGAAGACAATTATTCTTTACATATCATCAAAGCTCCGAAAGTTGTTTTTCACTATATTCTCTGCATGTCAGAGTATGGAAGGGAGAAAAGAGTGTCTACCATACCATGTTATGTAATAAGAAGTAATCCAATCTACATCTCAAATAATTTTTACCAAGCCTTTGAAAGGTTAAAAAAATGGGTTGCATGAGTACTATGGTGGACTAATATGTCTTTGTGTTCTTAATTGAAGGCCATAATTTGTTTATTTTCTTCTTTTGCAGCTACTGGAAGGCAGTAAATATATTTCACTGGCTTCTCTTCAATAAACTAATAACCGAACACAAAGAAAACTAGTCAGCATGGTAAAGACTTTTTATGTTGTCATTTCACCAGACACCTAATCTTTTCTTACTCTTAATTGGAAGTATCACAAAGAGAATATACGGCATTATAATCTAAACAAATAGAAAATAACGTGATTGCATACGCTTGCATGCGCGCCTAGCCCATCCATATAAACCGCATACTAAAGAAAATAATGTACATATAAATAAATAAACACGGGTGCTTTCATAAAGTATGATATTGTATAGCTATATATACAAGTCAAGATCTTCCTTATTGAGTCATTCTTGTATTCTCCTCTCCTACAACATTCTCAATCATGAATATGCTTAGAGAGGAGGAGCCCTTAAGCCATAACCAGAAGAACTACTTTTATAAAAATACTGTGTCCTCATCAGAGTACTCATTTCCATATAAATTCTCTTCACCACAGCCACATACTGAGGTTGATCGGTCTCCACCATCCCCGGACCTTACCGTAGTAAAGAAGCTTAATCACAATGCCAGTGAACGTGATCGTCGCAAGAAGATCAATCGCTTGATTACTTCACTTGGTTCACTTCTTCCGGTGGCAGATCAAACGGTACTTTAAGTCCTCTCTTTCCTTCCTCTTTTAATTAAAGAGGAGCATGTTCCCATGCAACTAAAATCCTTCTTAATTTGAATATGTATTTAAAATCTTTTGTAAGCAACAACTTCAAGAAATTAAGAATGGTTATCCATCGCTAACATGATTGATTCTAAAAGATTATTGTCAATTGGGATGTTTATTAATCAAAATAATTTAAGAATACAAGGATAAATATATACCAGTTTCCTTTTTTAATGGGTGCAAAATATATACCCGTTTCCATTTCCTATGCATTTAGACTCATTCTCTGATTAATATTCAAACCGATTTGTCCACAAAAATATTAAATTTTCAAGACTATTACTATTTCCAAAAAGTTGTAAAAAACATTGTTCCAAAAAAAAAAAAATTTGTTAAAACCAACATGGTTTATCATCATCAATAGAGATATAATTTCATGTTAATGTTGCAGAAAAAAATGAGCATTCCGGACACAATTTCGCGAGTCCTAAAATACATACCTCAGTTACAACACGAGGTGGAAGGACTAACTAAGAAAAAAGAGGAGCTTCTATCGAAGATTTCCAAGCAAGGAGATGCAGTGAAGAAACAATCTCAAAGGAAGATTTCCCAACTAAATTCTGTTTTTGTAGTTTCAGCAACCAGGCTCAACGATAACGAGGCTGCTATTCAGATTTCATCTTACGAAGTTTACAAGACTCCACTATCTGAGATCTTGCTGTTTTTAGAGAATAATGGGTTTTTTCTGCTAAATGTTTCTTCCTATGAAACCTATGGAGGGAGGGTCTTCTATAACTTGCATTTACAGGTATGCTTTATATTAATATTTACTTTTCTTTTGTTGTTGTAGCTTGTTGGTTTTTTCTTTCTAAAGTTTGAGAACTAACTAACAGTGCCTGGTGCATCTGCATGTGGAAAAAAACTCATAGGTTAGAGTCTGAGAATATTCTGACTAAGCAATAGTCAATATACGAAGAAACAAAGCATTTTCTATTTAAATTAATGTTTGTTCTAATTACGAAGATTGGATGATCTTCAGTGCTTTAAAATTATGTACCTATTTTGAATGCAAGGATTGAAAGTTTACAAGGGGCTTGTATGGTTTGTTAAAAAATTACTACGAGGAAGATGCATGGATTCTAAGAGTTAATGTATGTTATGTACTTATGTAAACATAAATATATGTTGATGTCGCTTATCTTTTATTGCAAGGAGTAGATAGAAAAAATAGTAAAACCTTTAGGATAAATATAAAGAATTTTTTTTTGAGTTTCTCACGTTTGTTTTATGTCATGCATGGTAGATAAGAGCACCGAAGATCATTAATTTGATCTTCATAATCAAAACGAACGTTAATATGATTGAAAAATCCTTTGCTTCTTCTTATAAATTGACAAAAGTTTAGATAGAATTTCATACTCTAATCTAGGTTTATCTTTGCTTTCGTGTATTTAGGACACACTTGGGATTTAAATGTTGTTTTGTTATTTTCTTAGTATTTTTGGGTGATTTATCCCTTCTTTTTTTTGTTATTTTTCAGATATCGGTATTCCCTATTGACATAGAACGCTGGAGCGCTAATATAATGGAGTATTGGAGTGCTAGGATAATGGAGCGTTGGAATGCCGGAGCTAAAATATAACATCTTCTAGAAGGTGTATGCTATAGCATTATGAAGAAGGAGGTCCCATAGCCCACAAGATTCACAATGAAATAAGAACGTCCATACAAGTGTTGTGGTGCTGACTGCTGAGAAGTTCATCTGCTAAAGCACGCAACCTTTTTGATAGTCTATAAATAGGGATTCCTAGCTAGGCTAAGAAAAGCATATAGTTTTCATTAGTTTTTTTTTGTTTTTCTTTTTCTTTTTTGTGTATTTTGGAGGAATAAAGGCTATGACAGCCTCTTCAATGGAATTAATCCTTAACCTTTCTTCTCTTTTCTTTGATGTCTTTCTACTCATTTGTGTTAGAAGTAGATAGAACCCAAAAGGAATTTCTTATGAATTAATTTTGTTTTCAACTCAATATATATTTTTCCTCTGTTGAGGTTTTATAACATTCTTAATGCTTTTATGATTTGGGAACCAATAGATTGATATCAAGATTGTATGCTAAACGAGAGATCTGAACATATAATCTAGAATTGGATAGGCATTCATAAAGATGAATGGTGACTGAGTGATCAGCATCACATAATTTATATGCAATCTTTATAAATTTTATGTTCTTAATGTTTCAATTTAATTAGGGGCTAGCCAAAGGATTTATGATTTCATGATTTATTCAAGGGATAAGAGGCTCTCATGTTGTATGAATTTGAAGTTTTTTGGTAAACTATGTATTTCGAGGAGTAAATAGTTATAATATTAAAGTTTTTTTTCATACCCCTTATAAGTGGGAAGTACATAGTTATAATATTAATTAAAAGTTATTGTTTTTCTTATATTATAACTATGGGAAAAATATTTCTGCAGTTAATGCAGATAAGTTATCTGCATTTATCTGCATGTTTTTGCGGGTTGATCCGTTTTCCTGATGGTTTATGGCTTGGTGGTTTTGAGTATCATATTGGTGCTTGTAGGCAGAATTGTGGGGAACCCTTAAAGGTTTGGAGATATGCTGGCAATTGGGGTTTAGGAAGGTGGAACTAGAAGGAGATGCTTCTGAAGTTTTCTCTTTTCTTGCAGATTGCAATGCAACTTGTCAGTCGCGCATCGTGGCTAAGATACAAGCACTTATTGCTCAGGACTGGGAGGTTACTCTTACTCATATTCCTATGATGCTCTTCAGAAAGGATCAGGATTTTGGCATCATCAAATCATGCCAAATCAGCTTGCTCATCTTTTTGATCAAGATCTCCATGGGATTATTGACCCTGGATAGTTTGTAGTTTTTGTTTGTTTTATGTTGGTTTTTGTTTGGGGCTATGCCCCTTATTGTTATATATAAAAAAAAAAATTTAAAAAAATTATAAATATAAAGACTATTATAACTCTGAAATAAATTAAAATTACAAAATACCATGATTTTCGTCCCAAAACGACGTCGTATTGGGCTTACTGCAGAAAAAACAAACCCTATAACTATATATTCCCCCAAGTACATAGTATGTAGGAGAATTTTAAATTCCTGTAACATAGAATGTTACAGAATTTTAAATTCCTGTAACATGAGATAAAAAGGACCCTTTATTTTGAATTATGTCGTAAGAGTTTGGATCTTAGTTGAGTTAGGAAAATTTGATTAGCAACAAGACTAATATCATTGAATTACAACTGAATTCAGGATTGAAAAAAGAAATTTGGGGAAATCGAAACTTAGGGCTTATTTGATCGTATTTTGCTTTTTTTGTTCTCAGAAACTATTTTGTAGAATAGTCAATGAAATGAATACTTCTTGCATTTTATTTATTTATTTTAAAAGTTAAAAGTCAAAACATAAAACAGAAACAACTGAAACATATTCAATTAAATTTAATTCTAAAACTAAAAAATAGAAATAATTTTTACAAAATAAGCGTTATCGAACAAGTTTTTTTTTCTAAAAGTTAAAAAATTATGTTTGGAAACATAATTCAATCTAACCCCTAATAAACTTAGGGTTCGCTTTTTCTGCAGATAAGTTATCTGCAGTAAGTCCAATACGACGTCGTTTTGGGACAAAAATCATGATGTGTTGGTAATTTAATTTAATTCAGGGTTATTATAGTCTTTATAATTAAATTTTTTAATATTTCAATTCCAAAATGATGTCGTTTTGGAAATAAATGCAGATAACTTATCTACTGTAGAAATATTTTTCTGATAAACTTATTATTTCCATTGCTTAGATCTTTTTAATTAATGTTGTTTTTATTTATTATTTATTATTTAATTATTTTTCCATTAATTATTTTTCAATTATTCATTACCTTTCCAAGTATTTTGGTTTACCTAATTAAATCCAAGATATGGTGAATCATTGCTTTAACCTTTATGGTAACAATACTTCTTTACTTTTTTTATTACTGGTGCCATCAATGCACTTATTGGAAAGTCATGTCAATGTTTTGGATTGGTTTGTGTCAAACAATAAGTTTTGCAAAAGAGCCTTGTTCGGCTATTGATTTCTGTTTTGAACTATTTTAGTTGGAGTAATTTTTCATTTTACTTTTTGTTTCTGTTTTTAATTTATTCCGTTTCCTTGTTTTAATTTATTTAATCAGAGTAATTTTTCCTTTTTTTAGAAGATTTTATTCTTATTTTTGTTCTTTCCCTCTTAATTTAATTTTTGTTGGTTTATGCAAAGTACTGCTGATCACAGTACTTTCGAGTTTTATTTGGCATTTGAAGAACAACAAAGAGGAATAAAAAAGTTGCTCATGAAAAGGTAAAACTTGAGAACCTCCAACCATCTCGACCAAACAATTAACATCTTGCATGGCAGGCAATGAGGGAGGTCGAAGGCGTATCATGAGAAATTATGGCACAATAAGGGGGGAGAGGTATAGATCTAGCATCACAAGATCAACCATCAATGCCAAAGCCAACTTTATTGTCCCTGGTGCATGCAATAGAATCAGTTTAGGAGGGGGGATGTGGAAGACCCGAATTTGCATATTAATTCAATCCTATAGATGTGTAATACAATCAAGATGAATGTCGTTATTGATCACGTCATAAGACTTAGACTATTCGATCCCTTCTTTATTGAAGGAAAAGGTGGAAAGATGATCAAAAGCATGCATTATCGCAAAGGAGTTTTACACCTTTGGGTGACTCAGCATATCTTTGGCTATATTCTTCACCATTTAAATATATGAAGTTGAGGAGCGAAATAGCATGCTTCTCTCAAAAAGAAGGAGAAACACTACTTGAGGTGTAATGTCCCACTAATTTGTGAATCTACTAATTTACCAAATAGTAATCTGGGTACAATTTATCTTGCCAACAAATTAAGAAGTTAGATAGATATGTTTGTGTTTTTTCTTTGAAGTATTTTTGCTCTAAAAAAATGAGAAAAAATAATGAATCATGGGTGCACTTCCTAGGAGAAAATGTACTTTTAAAGCTTGGGCCATCTATTTTATTTGTAGCACACTTATAATAGCTAGGAGTCTCCAATAAATATATTAGAAATGATTGAACTTGTCCATGATAAATACATTCTTGTGGTTTATGTAACTATCCTCTAGTTGAATTGTTTTTTCTTTGTTTTTTTTTTTTTTTTAAACAACTCTTTCCAACTCTATCCATTATACCAACTTAATTGTAAGACAAGGTGGTAGAAAACAAAAATAGACAACTTGGATAATCTACCATGATTCTAAACATGACCCTCTGATTTAGATTTTTATTTTTTTTATTCCATGAATTTTGCATCACATAATATTTAAAATATTATATTGTTAAAAAATTATAATAAAGCTAAAGGTCGAGAAAATTAACTCACCTTGCTTTTAATATCAATCACTTGGTCTGCAAGAGACCATTATTTCCTTTCTACAAATTAACGCCAAAGCCTGAAGTTGGTAGTTGGTACCAAGGTAAAGGAACTCATAAACCCCAGGCTGTTTTTCTTCCTAGCTATAATATATATTTTTTTATGACTTTTGGAATTGATTTCCTTATTTGACTCCATTTGAGCTTATTGATGAATTTCTGTGTTAGTTTATTAAATAACACAACTGGACAGCCTTCATTTTAAGTTACTTTGGAGAATCTAAAATTAAAATATCCATATGTTTTGTTTATAATGTTGCAATTTACCTAGTTGGTGTCAAGTTTGGTACTTAAAGGTGTTTAGGAAGAGAAAACTGGTTTTGCAATGGATGAAATGATCAGTCCAAGACTTATATGATTTGGCGAGGAGAAGAAGAAACGATATGTTAACAAAAGGCTCGTCTATTTTATGTTTAAAAAAACCTTACTTTACGACTCTTTGGACGTGTAAAATTTACGGTGAAATGGGGTTATTTTTGAG